CTTGACCCTGAGTGATGTCGTTGTGCGAGTAAAAGACACGAAGCTCGCTGTCACGTTTTCGTTTAAAAGCTTGTTTTATTTGCAGAGAATTGAATGATGTGTAACAAACAATTTTTCGTACAACCTTTTCTTTAAATCGAAAAGAACGACTTCGTAACCGAACTCTAGTGATAGATTTATCAATAAAAGAAATTCAACATTCTCAAAAATATCTACCAAAACAGTTTTATGTGGTAACCTATGTTGCTTCAAACTCAGACATCAAAGACAACTCAAACACATTATTATCGATTTAATACTACTCATATGTATGTAAAGTCAATTAATAATAACAGAATGGTTTTAATTTGTAAAAAAGAAGAGGAAATTTTATTTTGAAAGAAAATACATGAAAAAAATAAGTAGCTTAAGTGAAATTTCTGATTCAAATTCCATGATAATTAATTATTCTTCTTGCATCATTGCAATATACATACAATGATATAATAATTCTTTATATCAAACGCTTTTACTTACATCTAGTGTTTTTAATTCCGTCAAATGGTTTTACTTATGTCAAGGGATTTTACTTAGTAAAATCTTCAAAATAGCCTGGTGAGTAACTACCTTTAGTCAATACTTTAGTTACGTTAATGACTAAAGTTAAAAGTTTCATCATACATCATTAGCTCGTAATGTTAATTTAATATAGTTAATTACCTTTTTGAATTCCTCTGACGAATTTAGATATTGCTTATATGAATAGTTCTTTAATTAGTTGAGCCAGACCACATAATTTGCCAATCTATTGAAAAATTCAGAAACTATAACAATCTAGTTTATGAATATTTTGAAAGTAACTATGAAATACATCACAATCAATCATCCAATTCTAATCTAAATGAGCGGTTCCAAGTATCCATAACAGCCGATTTGATTTTTGGGGCCTTTTTTCAAACCTTATTATTATGCCTTATTGTGTCTAGGATGTTAAACACGAGTATTTTTAATGTGTAAACTGGTCAGTAGAATGATAATTAGCCCTAAAAAAATTTATTTGCTCCGCTAAAAAAAACTATTTTACTATTCAACAACCTGTAAAACCAATGGCCCCACCTCAAAACCAATGGTTTTTGCTGGTATAAAGTATTCATAATAATAATGTTATGATCATACTGTACTGAATTTCAGGGTTCAAACAAAATCAGCGCATATGTCACACACAACAAAACTTGGAGATGAGCACCAGGAAGTAAAGTAGTTGGGTGTAACTATACTTGCCAAATATAATTAATTTATTGATTCTTTAAATGATATTCTATTTGTGAAAAACATTCATTACCATCAAATTATTATGACTGATAATACTCTTGAGAAATTAAAAGTAGCATTTTCAGTCCTTCAGGATCAAAAGGAATTAGACTTACATCTGATAAAAATTTCACAAAACCTTGAAGGAACAAGACTGATATAGCATTAATAATATCTTATTATTTTATTAGAACGATAAGAGAAAAATTAGAGATGACAAACAAGAATTAGAGGTAACAAAAGAAGGATTAAAGAATTCAGAAAACCAATTATTTAGTGATTATTGAAGATTTTTAAAAATTTTTTTTTGTGAACATAATTTTTATTCAAAATATAAAAACTATATAATATATATACATGTAAAATAAAATAAAAACTTATTCTATACATAATTGTATTCTTTTTTTTTTAATATTATCCTGGCTATTTCCTTCTTTTATGATGGCAACTTTTACTTTTTTTTCTTGATAATTCTGTGGACATTAAATTCATTAATGAACAAATATGACAATGATTGTAAATTGAGTTTGACGTAGATTTAAAGTCATCGGAACAGTTAACAATACATGACAAAGAATTTAAAGAAGATTTTCTTTTTGTTTCCATTGTACAATTAATTCACTTTATGAAGAATTTGACTACTTGGAAATATGACTCTTGACGAATTGAATAATTTTGTACAACAAACTCATTTACTCAGAGGAGAGCTTCCATAAAATACCATATGTGAAGCATCTAATACCTGAAGTACCAACTACAAAAATCCATACTTTGTGAAAAATTATAAACTAGGGAAGTGGAAAATTATGCATGAAATGGCTGGAGCGATAACAAGAGTATACAGAATCCTTAAACCTGTACACCCTTTAGTGACCTTGGAACTGAGGTATCTTACTGTACAAAAATACCACAAAGAATCTTGAAAGAATCAATTGAACCATAAGAATTGACAGAACTTAAGCGAGGGGAAATGTAAGAAAATAAAAATGAACTATTGATATTACTTCTCCTTTTTACTATTTAAACCTATATCTTATCTTCAACAAAGAAAGAAAAAATGTTTACATTTGTATTTATTATTGAAACTCGAAATTAAATTTGTACAAAATAAACAGTGACATCCAGCTAAGGCTGGCCAAGAATTTATCATCAACATACTCTTTATGAATTCACTAAGATCAGTTGTTTTACAAAGTCTTTTCTTTTTCTTTAGGATCACATTTCTATAAGTATAAATATGTTCACCAGGAAGAGAGTCAACTGGTGTTGACATTTGATGTAGCAACTGCAACAGTATTTAACACTTTTTGAATATTTTAAAGAAAAAAATTAAAAATGTAAATAAATTTACTTGAGTCAATTGTCATACATATGCTTCTAATAAACATACTGGTCAAACACCAAGTTCTTATTTGTGTTTTTTTTTCGTATTAAACAATTTGGAGATCACAAAAAAGTTATATTAATATAAATAAATAAATGAGGGCCAAAATGCATTCTTATACAGAATTTACCTATTAAAGGACAATACTGTAGAAAGGGTCCCAATTTCGGTAATTATAATTAAACGATGACTTTTTATATTAAAACGGTATAATATAATTGTCAAATTTGAATCAACTGATTTATTATTTATAACTTTTAATTAAATTTTTTTGGAAGATTTTTTATATTATATAGGAATATCATAGTTTTTTAAATCAGCCACAAAAGTTTGGTATAGAGCGATTAGTAATAGTAATAGTAATATGAGAAATGTTTGTTATTATTATACGGCTTATTATTATTAATAAATTCGTTATAACAAAATTTTTATTGAAAACTTTTGTTCGTTATAACGAAAATCCATTATAACAATGATCATTATAACAAGGGTAGACTGCGGTAAGAAAGACGATTTCCAATTTATTTCATCCTGGTTCTCTTCAAACCTAATCACTTTCTTTAAAACTTTATGAGGTTCTTAATAGTAAACATCAGTAGTAATGGTTCTTTATTGTCTTCACCAGAATCTGAACCATTCGTATCAACTTCAATTTGTGCATCTTCTAAAAACATTTTCAATAATTCCTCTATCACTAAGAATATCTTCAGTTGCGAGTGGTTCATTTGTGTATTCTTCAACATGATGAACGATTATTATCATTAGTTAACAAATTATTAAATTAATTGACAAACTCATTATCATCATCCACCGCTGGATTTGCTTGTAAACAGGAAGAATACCTGTAAATACATATTTCCTTTCTAAGTTCATCACTAATAGTGGGAGTTTAGGACGAATTAGCACCATTTTCCATGATTTTTAATTATTACATGGACAGTGAGTGAATGAGTGGACCATGTACCAAAGGATCAAGTAGGGTTAATCTTTATGTCAATCCCAAATGGGGGGATATACAATTGGATGATTTTGACCAGAGAAATAAAAGTAAGGAAAGAGGTGTTACTTAGATCGCATAAAAAACTATGTATGATCTCATTCATATATCAGTATTTAGTGTTAAAATAGACAAATTGGTTAACATGATTACATTCTTGAAGCAGTTAATCAGATTTTACATGCACAAACTTTGATGGTTAAAACTTTCAAAGGGCTTTTTTATAAGGCTAAAATTTACTTTTTGTATAATAGAAGTCTCTGCTTCGGATTCTTCAACTTTTTTATCCATTAAAATTTCATTTCATCGATTACCTTTTTTCCTCTCTTCTTCACTTGAAGATAAATTGTAAATAAAAAAAGATCGACATTTTTGCTTGGTTCATTACCAAAGATTTATTTTGGCATAAGTGCAATTTCACCTGCCAGAATAAACTCATATTTTTTTTTTGGCACATTTGTATTTTGCAAGGTTCAATTGTGGATAATTGCCTTGTGCTGGTTGCATAGAGTGTATTGGTTGTTTTGTGTAATTACTTTGCACTGATGGTATGACAAAATAACTCTTAACTACTGATTCTAACTTGATTTTGTCAATTTAATATTGATGTTTTGGGCCACTGTTGTCAGCTGTAATATATGGAAGATTGATATCTGTTTATAGGATTGGTGGGGTTCAGAATCCTCTTGCAAAGGATAAATTGGCCATTCAATGTATTAGATGTCAATACTTTGTTCTTTTTTAAATTCTCATAATATAGTTCACCACCAATGCATCATCAAAGCCATTACCACAAAGAACATTCTTTGTCCTTTTGACTTCAATACACCATTTTATATCTCAAGAATTAAAGATTGAAAGTTCTATCACCGAGATTATAGACTTTGCACTGATGGTATGACAAAATAACTCTTAACTACTGATTCTAACTTGATTTTGTCAATTTAATATTGATGTTTTGGGCCACTGTTGTCAGCTGTAATATATGGAAGATTGATATCTGTTTATAGGATTGGTGGGGTTCAGAATCCTCTTGCAAAGGATAAATTGGCCATTCAATGTATTAGATGTCAATACTTTGTTCTTTTTTAAATTCTCATAATATAGTTCACCACCAATGCATCATCAAAGCCATTACCACAAAGAACATTCTTTGTCCTTTTGACTTCAATACACCATTTTATATCTCAAGAATTAAAGATTGAAAGTTCTATCACCGAGATTATAGATCTATATTCGTTTTTATCTGAGCCATAGGCACACAATATATGTAAATAATTCAATAATGGTGTTCTCAATTTTTGTTTAATACAACATAGTCAATTAAATTAGGGCTGAATGTATAGCCTACTGTTAATTTACCCCTTTATGCCAGCAGCCTTGGTAATGTTGTCACAATGACCAGATATACTAATATCATGCGAAAAAAAGCCAGAGATTCTTTCAAAAATGATGTTAAATATGGCATATTGATCGAGTAGAGTATAGGCAAATAAAGTTGTCCATTCTATTTATGCCAGGAAGGTTACATCAAGGCTCAAGTGGCTCACTAAAGAAAAAAGAAAGCAAGGATGTGGTCTCTTAATTCAGGAACACGAATTTGGGGGTGTATTGATTGGTCTCTTCTAAGGAAAGACGATTTGAATAATTTAATATTCAATAGTAAAAGAAAGTAATTATTAGACGCTGTAATTATTGTTACACGTCTCAGGATTCAACGTTACACATGTTAGGGCGTAACATAATTTTTGACTTTGCGAATCGTAGCATAATGGACGCAAAAAGATCAAAGAAGATCATTGATTTTGAAGGATTTCAATATGTACCGAATTTTTTCGATTCAAGGCTTTTACCGTATATTATAAAACATATTATACAAAAAAATTATTTATTTATTCTTAAAAGGTAATAATGTCAAGATTTTTTTTTTAATAAAAACAAGAAATGATTTTAATAATAATT